TTCAGTTTAAGGATACTTAACACTAAGGTGCATGAAATGCAGATCTACTTTTAATTATGACCTTTCAACATTTTATCTCGTGTTACTACAGAGTACCTGTGTGATTAACAATAATATTAGAAAGCCTGTGGTGAAGAAATCCAGCATTTTCCAAACAACGGAAACCCTCCAGCTCTCCCCCCGTTTCACAACGGGGCTCCCATACTTTTGTGATTTAGAAGTGAGCGGAGCTTACCGTACCTTTAGAGAGACTCACAGTATTAGTGTGGGGTGCGCGCCTTAACAACTGTCTCGCCCAGTCGCTGGGATGGATACAAAGCAAAATATTTTCATTGCAAGATTTTGAAGCAACCATGGACAGGGGAGAAAATAATATCCACATAAAGCGGGCAAGTGCAGCAAGGAAACAGTATGTCTACAAAGAGAAGGAGGGGAAAGGGGAGGAAGAGAAGGTGGGGAAAGACATCAACAGCAGAGGGAACAGAGCGACTCAGGCTCAGGGGGAGGAAAAGCCATTCTGAAGGACCTGAGAGTGAAGGACAGCCTGGCCCCTCGGGAGCCTTGTTCTGTCACCGTCCCTCCTGAGCAGAGGATGGACAGTCCTGTGTTTCCTAGCAAGACACCCTGCAAGACACAGAAATGAGTTTAGTACGGTCTCTCCACTCAAGGAGTAGCTGATAAGACAGACAAGCTGTACTGTGATAAGTAGCACAAGGTAAGCGCAGAGGGCAGCGGAATAAGGAGTTTATTACTTCATTCAGAATTAGGGTACAGAGGCATCGGCTGTGTGGGGAAACAAGAGGTTGGAAGGCTGGTGAGTAAAAATGCAGAGTATCCATTAGCTTAAAAATTAAATTGTGTTCTAAAACTCCAGATTAAAAGCATATATACAGATGCAAAACTTGCAAGTTGAAATGAACGTACGTCAAAGCCAAATACTTGAAGACTAAGCCCCTTTATGCTATGCCAAGACCTGAGCTCATAGCTCTGGATAAATACTGAGCTGTGTCATTCATCGACTTGTTTGGGTATTAATGAACGCATCAAAAATTTTCAACAATCACAGACATTGCCGCACTTGGAAAATGGTAAGTGGAGAGTCAGGTCAACGTGAACATTTCTCTGATGGTTGAAATCTACGTTTAAGGCATACTTTTGTAAATTACAATGTCAGGTGTATTATTTTGAGATTATCTAGAGACATTCAATTTTGCATTTCATAGACTTTTCAAGTCCTTTTGTGTCTCCACAGAAAAACATTTATCTGTGTTGAAAATCCTGAAATCATTTGTAGATATACTTTTTCTTTTATTGGCTATGTTAAGAATATTTACCTGTGGGAACTGTAATAATTCCAAGCAATTTACTGTCTGGCCAAAAGTATCACATTTGCACAAGATTTACTGATGGGTAACTTGTGCAAGCTTGAGTAGCACCTCATCAATACATGCTTTCCTCAGCTGTTCTGGGACAGCAACAGTGCATCCCTTTTTGACCCACCATTACATGGATTTATCCTAAATAGTTGAAAAACGCAAGACCGTGATTCAATAAGGAGACTACCACGAGACACTCTTAGCCGTGTTCACGGAGAGGGTATTGTGGAGAAAGCTGCGCACCACCTACCCACTGTCTGCCCCATTAAGTCCTCGGGGAGGAAATTCTTTCTGCTCTTAGCACCAGGATCAGTTACACTCACTGGCAAGTGGGCTGTTTTGACCTTATGGTGGAAAGAGTCCCTTCACTGTATTAACGCAGTCTTTCTGCCTTTCACTGGCTACTAGAATCTTAGAGCAAAAGCTGAGGACCACCTGTGTGGGTGGTAAAGATTCCCCACCTTACACTGTCTATAGTAACAACATGCAACAGAAACAATTACCATTGCCAACAGGTGCTGAGCCCCTGGTGCTAAAGCACTTATGTGTGTCAGGTTTCATTTAATATTCATAATAATCCTAAAATGCGGGCTCTTTTATTTTGCCGTCTTGACCAATGAGGAAACCCAAGCTCACAGAGGTCCGCCAGCACCCCAGGGCCGCTGAGCCAGTGGGTGGCAGAAACCCGACTCAGCTGACGTCTTTCTGACACTGAAGGTCACGCCTCTAACTCTCCGTTATTCTGCCTCCTGGCCTGGCCGATGCTTCGGCCCCCTTTGGGTCTTTATTTCCTTTTACTAATGAAATAAAGTTAATAGACCAAAATTCTTTGTGTCAACACCAGGCTCTTCCAAACCTTCTTCCAAAGGCCATGTCTGAGCCCCAGCGCCTGTCTGGCTCAAGTGCTGGATGACAGAGCTCTCTGCTGCCAGGTTTTCCCCAGAGGACATGCTCTTCCTGAGTAGAGGCTATGGGCAGCCCTGTGGCTCGGAAAAGGTCAGGTGGGTCTCCTGAGTCTGGACTTTGCTGCCGTGTGTGCTGGGCTGGCCGCTGCGCTGACTGGGTGGTTTGTGCGCAAAGACTCCTGCCAAGGCAGTGGCAGGATCACGGGGATGGAACGCCAGCCTATGCTCCACACGAGTGTTTCCAAATTCTGGCAGATATGAATCTTCCAGATTCCGGAATGAGAAATTGGAATTCCCAGAAATTCTCAGGAATTCCTGAAATCATGTTATTTCATATTTGTTCCTAAATTTTATTTACATGTTACTAAATAATAATGATGACCATAATAGTAAATTATTTCCATAATAAACAATGAACCATTTATTTATGATAGAGATGCTAAAAATTTCAGAGGTTTTCTGTAAAAAAAACCCCTATATATTGCAATAACATTTAAAAATGATCTCCACCTGTTATCTGGTAACAGAAAACATTAGGAGAACATTAACACAAAATAAATGCTAAATAAAAGCCATTTTAAAAATTGAAAGACATTAAAATATTTATCATTTATAAGATATTCTTAAAATACAATTTTAAAATACACAAAGCATTAATTGTCCTATCCAACAGTCTTGATTTTTGTTTCAGGACAAATATGCCAGATGTTAAAAATTTTTTCTTTCATTTTACATTGACATTGGTCAAATTGTTGACAGGCTTCCAAAAGCATAGCCAAGTTAGGCGTTAGAGTTTGCATCATATATGCTCATTTCCTTTTTTAATGATGAAAATATTTTATCTGCCTGCCCTGATTCTGGTTGGGCCATTGAGGTCTATGTTGTTTTTGCTAATTAAGATTTTAGATCACTTTCTGGTTTCATGATGCAGTGTTGTACAACCCACATTCACATCTTCCTCTCTTTGCATTTCTTATGTTAAATTACTTGGAAAGAACGAATTGTAATACATAATATATACATTATAGTGAATATTCAAACACAAAACAACACCCGGGTGCATCCAAATGACATACCATTCAGATCTCCTAGCAAGCTCACCAAGGCTACAGAGAATCACACATCAAAATTTCAAATTTAACGACTTACTTTGCTTTACAAATTTGTTATTTCTTAGAACATCATTCATAGGACTTGTATAAAGTATATGATGCATGTTAGCAGATCATTTATTTTTGCAAGAATGACTTGCACATACACATTATTTAGAGCATGGCAACAGCTACAAGCGAGGCTGACTGCCTGGGCTGTGACCACTTTACTCTTACTGGTTCCCGTCCTGATGCCTGGAAATGTCTACCTTCACCTTTGATTCTGCTGCCAGAATTTTCTTTTTTTTAAAACTTTATTGAGGGATAACTGGCAAATATAATTGTATCTGATGTGTACAATGTGCTGATTTGATAGCCACGTACACTGGGGAATGATTACCAAGATAATTAACAGGTGTTGCTCTCCATGACGTCAGTAGATTCCTCTGAACCAGTAATGTCTTCAGGAAGATTATTAAATTTTAATTGTCAAATTTTAATTCTAACTTCCCATTTTCCCAATTTCTTGACTAATTTTTCTTGAGATTCAGGATTCAGGAAAACATAAAAAACTTTTTCTGAGAAGTGCTGAGAATTGCCGCTGAGACTGTGTCCAACAGGCAAGCGGGCATGTTTTTCTCTTAGGAAAAACTTTTTTGGCTTACTTATACCTACCAGACTGTCCACGCAGAGGGCCTTTGCTGAATTCACCAAAATGTGCATATAGGCTAGTTCACCTATCAGCTTGGGATGACCTCAGAGGCACAGGAAAAGTACCCTTTAGCAATTTAGGAGTCACATAAATATCTTGAACTATGCAAAGCTTAGCAAATGCAGGAGGACAAGATGAGGTAAAGTCAAAATGTTGTTTTCACAAGTACTCCTGGGCTATCGCTTGAGGCCTGGCCTCGCCATTTATCAATAATCCACTATCCAATATCAGAAATGAATATTAATCTGGGCTTTGGGTAAATCATTTTCCTTGCCCCACCCCACATTCAAGGACTTAAATATTGATACACTGTTATATGGGCCAATATTATTATAAAATGTTTTCACACATGAGATATTACTTGAGAGTAATGGAAATGGACCAATACATATTTTACGCACCTACAATGTATCACACACCACACCGCATGCTTCAAATGTGTTTTCTCAGTCCTTAAAATAATCCTGTGGTGGGTATTACTAATTTCACTCCATGGGCTGGGAAAATTAAGGCTCAAAACCATAACTTTTCAACAGTCACATTGCTAGTTAAGTGACACAACCTAGAATTTAGTCTAAGTCCAACTTCAAGACTCCTTGCCCCTTCCACCGCATCATACAGCAGATCGTAAAATGGTGGCAAGTCACAATCTCTGACGGCTGCCACGGCCCGCTGCCCGCTCGCTCCCCAGCTAGGGGAGAGGGCTGGTACCTGACAGCCCAGCTGCTCCATGAGGACGAACTTCACTGTCCTCAGGGGAATAGGCCCTTCCCCTGTGCACACTGAAGTATTAACAGGGATACCTACTACGCTTACTTGAAATAAATATATAGTCAACTTGGAAGCAGAACATACATTTTCAGGAAAACATTTTAAATAAACATTGCAAACATAGTACAAAAAGCTTCTCTCTCACCTTCAAATATTTCACCAGCTTCTGAATTTGCCAGTATTCTGATGGCAAATCTGTGTTTGCTTCCTGAAGATGGTCAGGTGGTTCTTCATCTTCCTCACTCTCTGAGGAGCTCTCACTAATAATCTCCTCAATCTTTTCAGCACTCTTACTAAGAACAACAACAACAACATACAATAAGCATGTTTATGCTACAGTATGGACATGGTTATAATGTTACTATTTCAGCAACGTGTACATAAGCAACGGATAAGGTACCAACACCTTCTGAGTTCTGGAAGATCTTTGTTAATATCTATATGAGGAGGTGAGTAAACACGTCTCTGGAGCAGATGCATTTCAGTATTATTGCTATGGGTTCAATAATAATAAAGAACATAACAAGGAATGGCAAGGGTATTAGGTAAATGACGGAAGACTGCAACTTGTCACAGCAGTTAAATAACTTAACATGTGGTTATTTATATTTACCTTTCTTTTATTTACTTACTTAAAATTGAATGCAATTAAAAACTCAGTTCTCCAGTCACACTGGCCACATTGCAAGTGCTCAATAATCACAGGTAGCTAGTGGCTACTGTACAGGACAGCTCATAAATAAACCATTTCTATTACCGCAGAAAGCTCAGTTGGGCAGTGCTGCCACGGCCCCAAAGGGAAGGCATTTATTCCCTTACCAAAGAGAGTTCACTTTATTCCTCACTGCTCTAGAGGCTTCTAACTTAACACCAAGGTCACAGACACAGGCTAGTTCACTCAAGCCCTTGGGAACATAATGAATTCATCCTTATCTTCTTTCTTTCCCTCCCTCCTTTTCTCTCTCCATCCCCCCAGGTGCTCTCTTCCATAAAACTCTTTCCTAGTCTTTTCCATTCGGAAGCATAGTAGGAGGATGGGTAATTGTCAAGTTTCATTATTTTTAAGGTTCTACCATTCCCTTAATTTCTCAAAGGTTTTTCAGCACAGAGAGCTCCAATTTTTGTACTTTCAAAAGTGCAGAATGGTGCAACTGTGCTCTCTGGGCCACAGTGGGGGGAAATCCTGAACTGAAGTGCCTGGAGCTGAGTTTCAGTTTTATGTATCCTCTTGTCCCAAAGATGTCAGGAAACCTGCGTTGGTTACAGAGGAAAATCTGACAGATCGGGTCTACCTAAAAATGAAGTGAACCCCAATGTTCTCTGCAGCATTATTCACAATAGCCAAGACATGGAAGCAACCTAAGTGTCCATGGACAGATGAATGGATTAAGAAGACGTGATACATACACACAGTGGAATATTACTCATAAAAATGGAAGGAAATCCTGCCATTGGTGACAACCTGGGTGGACCTGGAGGGTATTATGCTAAGTGAAATCAGTCAGAGAAAGACAAATACTGTATGATTTCATTTATACGTGGAATCTAAAAATAAAAAACAAAAACAAAACAATAACCAAACTCATAGAAATCAGACTTGTGATTACCAGAGGTGGAGGGAGTGAAATTGGGGGAAGGTGGTCAAATGCTACACACAGGTATCTGATAAATAAGTGCTGGGGATGTGGTGTACAATGAGATGACTACGCTAACACTGCTGTGTGGTGTATCTGAAAGTCGCTTAGAGAGTAAGTCTGAGGGTCCTCATCACAAGAAACAGAGTTATCTGCAACTACATAAGGGGATGTAAATTAACTGAGCCTCTTGCAGTCATTTCACAATACATGCATGTCAAGTCATAGGGTGCACCATAAGCTTATACAGAGCTGTATGTCAATTATATCTCAGTAAAACTGAAAAAAGCCACACACATACATACACACACAAAGATATATCAGTTTGTTTGTACATAGCTTTAAAGCAATGCAGAAAGAGAACTACGTGGCACTAAAGGCCTACATAAGAAAAGAGAAGACTCGATTCAGTCATGTAAACTCACATCTAAAGAAACTGGAGAAAGAAGAGCAAAACAAACCCAAAGAAAACAGAGAAAAGGAAATAATAGAGAAGAAATCAATAAAATTGAAAACAGAAAACTAACTTGAAAAATCTATAAAAACAAAAAACTGCTTGTTGAAAAGATCAATAAAACTGACAAAGCTCTAGCAAGGCTGACAAAAAAAGAGAAGACACAGATTTCCAGCACCAGAAATGAACGAAACGTAGCATATCACTACAGGTCCTGCTGACAACAAAAGGATAATAAGAGAAAACTATGAACAACTGAACATTAATTTGACAATTTGGATAAAACGGACCAACTCCTTTAAAGGTACAAACTACCGTAACTTAACCAATAGGAAGCACATAATTTGAACAGCACTACGACTATTAATGGAATTAATTCATAATTTTAAAACTCATAGCAAAAGTCTCCAGTTCCAGATGATTTCACTGGAGAATTTTAACAGGCACAGAAGTACTAACACCAATTTTGTACAATCTCTTCTAGAAAATACAAGGGAAGGGAACTCATTTTATGAAGCCTGATATCAAAACCAAAGTGCAAAGGAAAACAAAACTGTTATCGAATATCCCTCATGAGTGTAGATGCAAATATTCTTAACGTACTTTTAAACACACATAATTCAGCTATCTGTAAAAAGAATGAGCCCACCATGACCAGGCGGGGTTTATTCCAGGAATGCAAGGCTGATTCGGTATTCAAAAATCAGCCGTTGTAATCCACCACAGTAACAGCCTAAAGGAGAAAAATGACATGACCACATACCAACTGATGTAGAAAAAACATGACAAAGTTCAACACCCAGTGGTGATTAAAACTCTCAGAAAACCAAGAATAGAGGGGAACTTCCTCAACCTGATCAAGAACATCTGTACAAAAACTATCATCGTGCTTTCTGGTGAAAGAATGAATGCTTTCCTCCTAAGAGTGAGAAAAAGCGAGGACTGTGATCACTGATAGTCAACATAGTACTGGCGTTTCTACTTCTAGATGTAAATCTAACGAAACAGGTACAGGACTTATATGCTGAAAACTATTACAAACTGCTGGTGAAAGAAATCAAAGGCTTAAATACATAGACATACAGTGTTCATGGATTGGCAGAGTCTACAGAGTAAAGATATCAATTTTCTCAAAACTGATACAGAGTTTTAATGCAATTTCTATCAAAATCTTCAGTAAGTTTTTTCTGGTAGATACAGCAAGGTCATTCTAAAATTTGTGTGGAAAGGAAAAAAGCTAGAATAGGTCAAAACGATTTGGGGAAGAAAAATAATAAAGTGAGAGGAATCACTTTACCACATTTCAAGATTTATTTACTACAGAGCTACAGTAATCAAGAATGTATGGTGCTGGCAAAGGGCTGGACATAAAAGTCAGCTGCACAGAATAAAGACCCAGCAATAGCCCCACACGAGTACACCCACCTGATTTTTGATTAAGGTGAAAAAGCAAGTCAAAGGTGGAAAGATAGCCTTTTCATCAAATGGTGCCGGAGAAATGACCTAGGTCAATGGATCTTGGCCTAGGTCTCATACTTTATATAAAATTAACTCACAATGGATCCCAGTCTTTAATATAAAATGTAGAATTATTAAACTTTTAGGAAGAAAACATTGGAGATAATCTTCAGGACCAAGGGCTTTGTGACATCAAAGGCACAATCCATAAAAGAAAAAATTGATAAATCAGACTTCATCAAAATTAAAGACTGTTCTCTGAGAGGCCCTATTAAGAGGATGAAAAGACAAGTTACAGAAAGGGAGAAAATATTTGCAAACTACATATATAACCAAGGATATCCTGGATAGATAAAGAACTCTCAAAACTCAACATTTAAAAAACAAATGATTCAACTAGAAAATGAGCAAAAGACATAAAGAGACATTTCACTGATGAGCATAAAGGGATGGCAATAAGCTCATGACAAGATGTTAACATCATGAGCCATTAGGGAAATGCTAAGGCCACAATGAGCTATCACTACACAGCTTTCAGAACAGCTGAAATACAACGCACAACAATACCAAATGCTGGCGAGGATGAGGGGAAACTGAGTCTCTCATACGTCACTGGTGGGAACATAAAATGGTGCAGCCAGTCTGGAAAAGGTAGGCAGTCTCTTAAAAAAGCTAAACACAGGGCTTCCCTGGTGGCGCAGTGGTCGAGAGTCCGCCTGCCGATGCAGGGGACGCGGGTTCGTTCCCCGGTCCGGGAAGATCCCACATGCCGCGGAGCGGCTGGGCCCGTGAGCCATGGCCGCTGAGCCTGCGCATCCGGAGCCTGTGCTCCGCAACGGGAGAGGCCACAGCAGTGAGAAGCCCGCGTACCGCAAAAAAAAAAAAAGAGCTAAACACAATTACTATCTATGTCAGCAACTGGGCATTTATCCTAGAGGAATGAAAACTTACATCAATACAAAAACCTGTGCGTGATTGTTCATAGCAGCTTTATTTTTAATAACCAAAAACCGCAAACAACTAAAAGGTGCCTTAATACGTGAATAATTTAAAAAACTACCATTGCATGGTATATCCATACAATGGAATGCCACCCAGCAATTAAAAGGGACAAACTATTAATACATGCAACAACCTAGGTGGATCTCAAGGGTATTACGGTGTTGAAAAAAAGTCAATATAAAAAAATGTATGAATCTATTTATATGGCGGTCCACAATGACAAAATTATGAAAATAGCAAACAGATGAATGGTTGCTAGGAAGTGGGAATGATGGGGGACGTGGCTGTAATGGGGCGGCCGGGGGACGTCTGTGCGGGGTGAACAGTGCTCTAGCCTGGTCGCCATGGTCATCACACAAACCTGCACAGGGTAAAATGACATTGAACTATACCTATACATTGTACCAGTGTTAATCTCCTGGTTTTGATCTTGTACCACAGCTATGTAGGATGTAGGATTTAACCATTGGGAGAGGCTAGGTGAAGGGTCTATGGGACCTCTCTGCACTATCTCCACAACTTTCTGTGAATCTACAATTATTTCAAAATAAAAAGTTTTAAAAAGTTGTCCAAAAATTAACAGTTTATTATGTCTAACTCCCCAAAATGGCACACACGTTGTAGAGTGTCTTAAAGTTTGTTTTTTCCAAGTGTGCAAATTTAAAATGTGAAATTTCTGCCATTTCTTCCCACCACCACCTTAGAGCAGAAATGGCTGAGCCTTCTCCCCAGATATGTCACTTTTATCATCAGGTAAGAAGCTTATTAGTTGGCCTTCTATTAATGGCGGTTTTAATGAGAAATAACATTTATCACTTTAGAACTGGCAGAGCCATCAGTGACCAGTAAAGTAAGGCTCAGAAAGGGGACAATTTTGTATGACATGATTATTCAGAGGCCAGAGACCAGATAAGAGCCCAGTTTTGCTACCACTTAGTTAACTGCTTTTTGCATTAAATATATTCATTTACAAAGAGTTAACTAATACCAGTAGATCACTGTATTAAAGTAACTCCACATTAAAAGGATATTCTGTAAATATATTTAAAGAAATCCACTATTACCATTTTTACAGCATTCCTACGAATGGTCAATATAGATATCTTAGGACCTTAATGTGAAAGTAAAAGACCATTAACCAGCATTAACTAGCCTGTTGCATAGGGGTGGCTTTAAAGAACTGGTCATGTTAACAGAAACTCACCGAATTAACTGTGCTTTTCCAGGTGAAGTAGATGGTCTGGACTTTTCAAGTCTTCCTCCACGTTTTTCTTCTTGGGTGTCTCTTCGTGAGCTTTTGCTCCTAAAGAGATATTAATTTTATTAGTTACTTTATGCTGACTAACAGGAAATTAAAATAGAAATGTATACAAATATTCCATCATTTTCATGTATCCAAATGACGTGTTTTCCTAACACAGAGAATGACTATGAGCTCCAGCCTCATCTGACACCTGAGAGGTCCCTTTTGTCCTTCAGGCACAGCCATGCATTTTATGTAACGGAGAAACACTTTGTCCAGTATTTCTTTGTGCTAGAAACAGGCCTTCATAGGCTGCCATCATTGGGAAGGTCCTTCAGTCTGTCCTGGATCACAGTTGCCTGTTATTCCACCTTGCCCACCTGACATGCAGCAGGTCCTGTGCCTGATTTTCTGGATATTCTCAAGCTTAGTCTACACCTTGGCATGTACTGGGTTCGCATTTAATACTTGTTTAGTGAATTCTCAATTGAAGAAAATAAGCACGTGCAAAAAGCAGTATTTTATAATTCACCTCCCCATTAACAGAGTAGCCCATACATTTGTCATTTTCAGACTCACTCTTTCAAACAGGGCCACAAACGTCAAACACCCCAAAATCAGTGAGACTCAGAGGACCAAGCATGTCTCCTCCTTCCACAGGACTCCTCTGCCAGCTCTCTGAGTTTGCACCCAAAATACAATCACCTGTGGTTCTCAGAATCCCTGCAGGTGAGGGACCCATGTGACCAGCAGGGACCCAGTTCTTAACCCAATAAGGGGATGACATGCAATAAAAACAGGCTGTAACTTTTGACCTATCTGCTAAACTTTAAAAAGTGGTCTAGGTGTTTCTGACTGCTTACGTGTTGGTAACATTGGCCCTTAATCTTTGCTTTGGCACCAATTTACAGAAGGTCCTAAATGGAACTAGGCTTGTATATTTCAGACGTTCATCAAACCTGTGTCCACTTTACTCAGACCATCCATATGTTTGCGGTTCTATCCTTTTTTACAGTATTTACTTAAAGTTCTGTGAATATACAAGATACCATGTCTATGACGTTTTCCCTAATTAACTACACACAATGGTACACTTAATCACATAATTTAAAGCGGAATTCTTCCAACACTTACTTAATCAGGTCCCTACCACAATGTCCACATTTCCCATGGGATTCCTCCATGCGTTTTATCATCTTTTTCACGTGTTACTTGCCCTGACTCACCAACCACAATGTGAAAGTGAATTGGGCTCTCCCGCCGTGGTGCTCTGCACACAAACGCTGTCTGCTGTCAAATCTTTCTGCCTGGAACGTGAAGAGGACAGGAAGGAACCCACCCGTATTATGGAGGAAGGTGTGAGTATCTCCTCTGTAGTCTCCTCTGATGAAACTGAGTTATGTGAAAAGTTGGGCAACTGTGTGGTTAGCAAGGATGTATCAGAAAACCCGCCACGTAAGTGTCTACATACCCTTTGGCATCAACAGTGGTCTTCCAGTTCAAACTTGGCTCTAATCTCTTGGTCAGCTGACTCCTTCCCAAACTGATTTGCTTCCTCTCCAGCGCACTCCTGCGGAAAGCAGCGCTAGCTTTACGTAAAGCGGCTGCTTCCTCCTCAGGTGCCTCGTCAGGCTGATCCTCTTCCTTTTGCTGTTCTCCATTGAATCTAACGTCCTTTAATTAAAAAAAAAGAGCATATTTTTACCGTGATATCACTTCTGAATTATCTCATGTTATCTGAAAATTAACCCTGGCGATAAATTCAGACAGGAAGTCTCAAGATGCTCTCTAACTTGTGTCGCTTAGCAACACAAATTGAATCTGGGCAACTTCAAGACCAAGGCCTCTGTTGGAGTTAGGCTGACAGCGATGGGCTGATCCTAAACTCACACCCCCGCTGCAGCCCACAAGGATACAGCAGCAGGACTGGACCAACTCACTCCTCACCACCACCAGGAAAAAATTACACTTAAACCCTGTAAAGACTGGGACACATCTTAGTCAAACTGCTGAGACCAAGGATAAAGAGACCACCTTGCAGGCAGCCAGAAATAAAAGACAGATTATAGAGAGAGGAAGGAACATAACAATTAAAAGAGACTTCTCATCAGAGACAATGCAATCCACAAGACAAGGGAGTGATATAGTTAAAGTGATGAAAGGGAAAAAAACCCATATCCTGTCAACCCAAAATTCTATACAGAGAAAAAAAATCCTTTGAAAATGAAGGTAAAATAAAGACTTCACAGATGAAAAAAAGCCGAGAAAATTCACTGCCAGAAGACCCAGGCTAAAAAAATTGTTCATGAAGCTCTTCAATCAGAAGGGATCTCATACGAGACAGAACATACATCTACACAAAAGAATGTAGATATGGTAAAAATAAATATAAAAGTTTCTTTGTGATAAGGGGTTGATAGCATGTCAAAGTAAAATGTATGACAACAATAGTACAAACACAGGGAGAGGCATTCGAAACACACTCTTGTAAGGCTCTTAGACTACTTGTGAAACTGTATAATACTGTTCAAAGGCAGACAAGGTAAATTAGAGACATATATTATAAGCCCAACTGAGATGTTTTTTAAAAAGTATAACTGATGAACTAATTGCATACACAAAATGGAATCATTTCTAAAACTTCAGTTAATTCAAAGGGGGAAGAAAAAGAACAAAGAACAAATGGGAATAATAAAAGCAACAAGCAAAATAGTAAATTTAATTCAACTCTATCAGTAGGCACATTAAATGAAAATGATTTAAAAACGTCAATTAAAAGAAATCATCAGAGTGAACGAAAAAGGAAAACCCAATTATTTGTGGTCTAAAAGAAACCATTTCATATATAAAGATATAAATACACTATAAGTAAAAAGCTGGAGAAAAATATTCCATGAAACTAATATTC